GCTGCACGGCTCATGCTTGGCAGTGTTGGGGGGCAGCGACTTCACCCTGCCAGGGTGCTCTAGATACCAAACCGGGGACCTTCTCCATCCACTGTAGCGCAGGTCTGTGTGGAAGATGGAAGGGGAAAGCGCTGGGCATGGCAGCAGCCCAGCCCAGGGCTGGAGCTCTGGGCTCAGGAACTTCCTTCTGGAAGTTTCCTCTGAGAAGCTGACAGGCAGCTCTTGGCACCGCCACACACAGCGAGGCCGGGCTCACCTGGGTCTTCCCGGTCAGGTCCCAGCCCATGTGCTTTGGCCACGCTGAGATCGGAACCCAGGCCCCTGGGAGGCAAACTTGGTGCTCTCCTCCTGTATCCAAGGTCCTGCAAGAGGAGCAGGCAGTGAGCCCAGCCCCTGGCTGTCCTCTTCCCAACCCGGAGCCACATCTCTGAATCACCTGTGCAGGACCCCGTGCCCTGGAATACGGTGCCGTCTGTTCCTATAAAGGAGAGGCCTGGCCTGGACCTACGTACACCCTGCTTCTGAGCCTCCCGGAGCGAGTGGGTTTGTTCGTATTCCTGCCTCGGGGAGTTCTTACCTGTGACCTCTTGGGTCTTTGGCAGGTATTTGAAACAGCACCAAGAGCGATCACAGAGTTATTCCTGGTTCAGTTTTACTTGAAATTCAGGGCATTGGGGGGCTGGGTTCTTACTCAAGTCGGAGCTCGGTGGGGGAGGAGCAGCAGCGGCTGGGCAGAATGACAATGAGGCCCTCCTGCGCCCTCATCCAGGCAGGCCTAACCAGATTAGATTTTCATAAATTTCAGACAGCGCCAGCTCCCGATGCCACGGTGTTTGGTCAGGAGGCCAGACGGGGCTGCTTGTTAACAGGAAGGACGCCACACCCTCCCTGGGGACAGACCCCGGGCCATGGCACTGTCTGGTCTGGAAACACTCTGGCTTCTCCTGCTGGCCCCGACAGCAAGAACGGTGGTTGACCACTCAGGGGGGGGGGTCTTCACCCACCAGGGACACAGTGACAGCAGATGTGGACGCTTTGCTTAGTCATAGATCTGTGGCTGCACCCGTGATGCCCCCAAAGGGGAGCTCAGCGTTCGTACCACACCACGGTGTCTCTTGTGGGCATCACGGGGGTATCGGAGAAGTTAGCCATGGTGCTGCGTGTCTGTGATCCCAGCACTCTGGGAGGCTGAGGCAGGAAGATCCTGAGTTTGAACCTAGCCTCATGTTCATCCTGGTCGTGTAAGGGGAGTCGTGTCAGGCGCCACTTCACTGACAGAATCACTAAGACGATTGTGCAAGGGCTCGGCCCATGCCTTTGTGGAGGGACTCCTGGCCCACAGAACCTCTTCTCATGCAGACCCTGCCGGGAAGGAGCACAGAGGGTGCGGGCCTCTCAGCCGGGCTGGCAGACTGTGGATGTGGAGTTATGCACGAGGAGAGAGGGTGCTGAGTGAAGTTAGAGGGCCCTTCTCGAGGATGTGGAAGATGGGCTCAGTCATCCCCTTGCCCAAGGGAAAAACTAGGACGAGGACGGCAGGAACCACTCCGAGCCGCCGGACACAGCAAGGAACGCAGCACCAGGCCAGGTCCGCGGAGGCCATGCGGGCTTGGCGGACCGCAGCGTTTCCAGGGCCCCTGCAGGGACGTGGGGTGCTTTTCATCCCTGAAAGGGTGGTGATCATGGCAGCAGTGGGGTGCAGTGCTCTCCCTGGTGCACTCTGCTCTGAGCTCTGGTCCCTCGGTGTCAGACGGGGTCTTCAGCACCCAGAGGTGATGCGTCCCGCTCCTCAGCCGTCCGGGGTGACAGCTTGTCCCTGGCCAGGCGGCATCCGCAGGCACGCGGGGAGCTGGCAGTGCTGTGGGCTTGCTGGGAGAGTCAGCAGGAGGCTCCGGGCCTTTCTGACTCTGAGCTCTGGGGGCACCGGGCAGTTCTTCCTGGGTGTGTGAGGCAGCTCAGCTCCTCCCGATCCTTAGTCTGCTCATCTTCAACCTGGGAGCGGTGTCGGCACCTGAGCCAGGGGAGCTGAGTCCCCTGGTCTGTGCTGCAGCTGTGAGGATCACGACAGCTCCTACGGTGAGTCCTTCCAGTGACCGTGGGCTGGGACCAGTGGCTCCTGGCCTGTCTCCCGTGGCTGACAGCTGGATCACAGTGGAGGGCTGCTCTGCGCGTGCACAGCTGGGGTGCAGGAGGTCAGATTGGGGCAGCTGACGCAGGCACAGGTGGCTGTACCATTGGCAGGAGAGCGACCTCATGCCTCCCTTGCCTGGAAGTCCCCCCAACCACCCACCCTACAAATACATTGGGTTCGTGCTGAACCCTGAAAGAGCGGGCAGCTCCGGGTGGCTTCTGGCTTCTTGGGAGAGACTGGGGAGGTGGCCACACATGGGCCGGGTCCTGTGTGGTCTGAGTGGATCCCGTTTCCTCTGCCTGGGCCTCGAGGCCGAAAGCAGCCCAGTTCCCAGTGTCCCAGTACCGCCCTGCCTGCTCCCCTGCCTTCCTGGACTGCAGAGCTGAGAGGCACAGGGGTGAGGCCCTGTGTCCCTGTGCTGCCTCACAGTTGTGTCCTGTCTTCGGCTTGACTCCAGGGCCTGTGAGGGTGTTGAGTGGGGGCCGGGTGTGCTCCGTTTTGTCCCTGCCAGTGACCTTTGAGTCTTTTAGCAGCACCTGTCTGGAGAGGGCATGGGCAGGAGGAAGCGCAGCTCCCGCTCCTGGAACTGTGCCTGGGGGTGGGGAGGTGTGCAGGGGTGCAGGGCCAGGCTGGTGGTGAGGTGTGGCGTGCCAGGCCCGGGTGGCACTGGGACCTCAGGCCCAGCAGTCAGTCCTCTTCCCTCCCACAGGCCAGGCCGCGCTCATCTGGCTCTGCGCTCATTTCTGGAGTGATCCCCACTCCCAACACAGCGCTGGGCCGTGCACACCCATGGCCTGTAGGGGAGGACAGCGGGCTGACCTGGGTCCTGTGGGACGGGATGCCAGGGCCTGGGACGGCACAAAGGCAGCTGGCACCTCCCTCCCCAGGGCTGGCCAGGGCAGAGGCCCTGGAGACAGCAGGAGGCGCGGTATCCCAGCCGGGGTGAAGAGTGCAAAGAGTTAGGGAGGGGGGCGTGGGTGTTGTACAAAGCAGGCCCTGTGTGTCCCCTGAATGTGAGGCTTTATCCTGGCCCAGCAGACAGACCTGCGCCCTGTGGACTCAGACCAGGCTGCCCAGGCCCTGGACAGACAGACAGGAGGAGGTACGGCCACACCGACCTGGCCCCATATTCGCCCTGTATAGCCCATGCCTTGCTTGCTCTGCTCTCCTCTCAGGGGGAACCTGAGGACATCCCCAGGCAGCTGGGGAGTCCGAGACCCCACCGGGCAGGGTCCCATCTGCTTAGGACTCGGGCACCTCTCTGCAAAGGGCTCCTTCTTTTGGCTGCCCGGCCCCTCCAGTGTGGGAGGGGTCGTGCCCAGCCCAGGAGCTCAGTCCAGAGCCCCAGACGTTGAATCCCTGTGGCCAAGTGGATGGCCACGTGGGAGGATCCACAGCTTTGGTCTCAATGGTCTCTGCCTGCCTGGCTGAGGACCAGCAGGGGACCTTTCTCCACTGTGGCGACTGCCCGGGGCAGGGTGGGACACTCGGGAGGGTCTTTGCCCACTCAACCACTTGCCAGTTGTGGCTTCAGAAGTTCCCAGACACAGCCACATGTGTCATCCCCATGATGTAAAGGGCAGCACTGCCCAGCGGAGGGGCGAGGGGAGGGGGATGAGACTCCTGGGGGACAGCGAGTATGTGGAGTATGTGGTTTCGAGGGGCCTCTGGCAGCAGCGAGTGCAGTGCCCAGTGGGGGCTGCTGTCCTCCTGTGCGGGGCCCTGGCCGGGAGTAGGCCTCAGGACTGGGATTGGTGCTTCCCAACCCCTCCTCCCTGGGAAGGGAAGGAGGCCCCCGGAGTCCTGGGCTACGGCCTGTTAGGGGCCGGCATGGAAAGTCCATCGCTGTGGGCCCAGGCAAGGTGGCTGCTGCCCCTTCCTGGGGTCACCTCCAAGGTACTTGGCATCGTGCCCATGGCCGGGGCCTGAGTCCGAAGAGCCACACGGCTCAGGTAGGACGGGAATAACCTCCCTCCTCCCTTCCTTCTCCAGTGTGTGAGGGTTTTTCCGCCTTCTAGGGGAAAAAAATCACTCCCCCGAAAAAACTTTTAAAAACCAAGAATTACAGCATCTGTAGCCCTCTGGCCTCTTCACCAAGAGGGGTTCTTACCGGATAAGTGTGCACAGGCTGCGCGTGTTAGTCACGTGCTCTCTTTGCTGGGTGTGTGTAGGATTTGGGGTGCACAGGAATGTTGGGGTGTCGCTCACTGAGATGTGTATGGGAGTGTTGAGGTGTAGGTGTGTAGGCGTGTTGGTACACACAGGAGTTTGGGGCATGCAGGAGAGTTAGCCTGGTCTTGGGGTGTGTAGGAGAGTGTGCTGGGGTGTAGGAGATTAGTGTGCTGTTGGGGAGTGGCAGCATCGGACTGTTGAGAGTATGTTCGGGAGTGTGTGGGAATGTGTGGCGTGTTTGCATGTATGTTGAGTGTAGACGTGTTGGGGTGTGTAGGAGCGTCGGTGTGCTGGAGTGTGGGAGTGTTGGGGTGTACGTAGGAGCCTCGCGTGTGTAGGTGTGCTAGTGTGTTGGCGTGTGAGTTGTGTGCGAGAGCACCCAGGCGTGCTCAGGGTGCACACGTCCACACGCTCCCTGGGTTTCGCTCCACACTTGGCAGTCAGTGCTGAGCATCAGGAATAGCACCAGGGCTCTGTGAGCAGAGGCGGTGGGCCCCTTCCGTGTGTCCCGTGTCCCCGGGCTCAGGTCCACATGTCCCGTGTCACCTGCAAACAAAGAGCCCTGGAGAGCAGTTCCCCCGGATGGGTGGAAGGTGTCTGGAACCCGTGGCCATCTCAGTCCAGGCGTCCTGGAGCACAGGGCCGTCCCTCCGCGATGCAGCTGGCCACAGGCTCACGCATGCCCTTGTCCCCACAGCCGAGCTGGAGTTCGTGCAGATCATCATCATCGTGGTGGTCATGATGGTCATGGTGGTGGTGATCACCTGCCTGCTGAGCCACTACAAGCTGTCTGCCCGCTCCTTCATCAGCCGGCACAGCCAGGGCCGCAGGAGGGACGACGGCCTCTCCTCGGTAAGTGCCCGCACCCTGGGCCTCCCCACCCCGACTCGGCAGGGAGACGAGGCCGAGAAGCCCAGTGTGGCTCCTCTCCAACAGTGTGGTGACAGCACCTGGTGACGTCCAGGGATGCTGGCAGGTGGGGTGAGCCAAGCCCGGGTCTGGGGCAGCGAGAGGGAGCATCGGTGGGGATGGCCAGCCCCAGAAGGCTTCGCGGCCCCAGGGGCAGGAGGTGTGGCAGGATCCAGGAGCCCTGCGAGGCCGGCAGCTGGCTTTGGGCCGCGTGGGGCCGGGATGGGTAAGAGGCAGCAGCCTGGTGAGATCCTGGGAGGACAGCCAGAGGGGACACGAAGCTGGCATCTGACTCCGCCCAGAGGGACGAAGCAGAGGAAGTCTCCTGCCCTCATGCCAACACCTCCCCACATCTGCCCTGCAGTCACAGTGCCCCATCTGTGGGCATCGGCTCTCTGCCCGGCTTCATCTCCCGGCGGTGTGCCCTCGACTCGTTCCCAGCTCCTGAGATGGGGCCTCGGATCCCTCGCCCACCTCGGGACTGGCAGTGGTGCCACCACCCAGAGGGCCTGGGGCAGGCGCAGGCTGGGGCAGGGCCCTTCCTCCTGACCGAAGACCTGTGCTCTCTGCAGTGGGGGCTGCGCTGTTCAAGGCCCAGCTCCTCAGTATAAAGATGGGCTGAGACTGAGGGGCCTGAGAGCAGCCTTCGTATCCTGGGACTCTCACTCTTAGTTTTCGGAAAGAAAGCCAGGCACGGTGGCGCACACCTGTAATCCCAACACTGGGAGGCTGAGACAGGACGATCACCACAAGTTCAAGCCCAGCCTGGGCTACATTGTGAACTCAAGGCCAGCCTGAACTATACCGTGATCCCTTCTTTGTGTCTCAAACAAAAAAATAAGTATCTGAAAGAAAAGTATGAGTACACTCAGAGGTTTTCCTAGCTGTTATTCCCTAAACAGTGCAGCGTATCCGCTGCTTGTCAGCGTCCATTCTGCGTCAGGTGGAACTCATCAAGAGTCTGTGAAGGACAGAGGACGTAGTGGGGCCCTATGAACTCCCACGCCGTTACACGTAAGGGCTTGAGACCCGCAGATTTGGTGTCTCGGGGGCCCTGAGACGTATCTTTCCACCCTGTACCGCAGGAACCCTTGCTGTCCACTCCTCTCGCGCATATTGGTGCCCTCTGGACACCCCAGTAGCATCCTCAAAACTTCACACAGCTCTTTGGGTGCCCCACGGGGTCCCCAGCTCCCTCTGGAGGGCTTTCCTGCTCTCTCTCTCTCCCTCTCTCTCTCTCTTTCTCTCTGTCACCAGCACAGTCTGCAAATGGCTCCCCTGCACCCCCGCCGGGGGCTGCTGTGAGGAGGCCAGGCGGGGCAGTGGGAAGCAGCTGTCTGCGGATGGATGGGCAGGCGGCCAGGCGGGTGCTCACCAGGCACAGGACAGGAGGGCGGGGCCCTCCGGGTCTCAGGGACGCCTGGGCTGGCAGCAACGCCAGGCACCTGCGGGCCGAGCTATCGGCGCTGGCAGGTTCGGACACCCCTGCCCACATCCGGCTGGCAACGGTGCATCACCGGGTCGTCAGGGCCAGAGCATTCGCGGGGGCAGCACCTCTTGCGGGGACACCAGGCCCTCAAACCCCGCCCGGCATGCGTCTGGAGGGCAGACTCTGCATCTGCGGAGGAATCTGCAGCCTCAAAGCCTGGGGCTCCCCTGGCTGCTTGTTTGCTGTTGTTGTCACCCAGCAACGGGGCTGCCATCTGCTTGCAAGCGCTAGTGCAGCGCCTGCGTCGGGGCTCCCGGGGCTCACCCGCTGTACCGAGAAGCGGCTCAGAGGTGTCCCGGCTGCGCCAGGGCTGTGCGAAACGCTGCAGCTGCTTAGGGAGGATAAAGAGGTGAGGTTTTAGGGCGCTTAAACAGGGGCTGGGGTGTGGGGACACAGCCCTAACGGTAGCACCTGGGCTTAGGCAAGACACTGGCCCTGGCTTCCATGGCCCTGTCCCAGCCTCCTCACCCCTCGCTGTGTGACAGCTCCCTGAGGCCCCAGCTCCCCACCGTCCAGAGGAAGGCCCAGATGCTGATCGGCCCAGGGCCCAGGACCAGAGCGCCGTCCCGCGTGGGCAGGCGAGGGGTGGGGGAGCCAGGAAGGCAGCTGCAGTATCACCTGGGCACCTCAGAAGACCCCTCCTCCTGTTTCTGAGCTCCCTGTGCTTGCCTGCAGGCCCCAGGCTGGTCACGGGGTCAGCCCCACCTCGAAAGCCCCCCTTTCGTCCTAGTCGTTCCCGCCGCAGTTGGGTGGGTGGGAGCCCCATCTCCAGGAGGAGAGGCATTGGAGCCCCACCTGGCCACACCTCCAGCTGGTGGCTCCCACAGCCTGCAGTTGAAGGCAGGTAGGGGTCACCGGGGATCAGAAAACCACCTTCTGGCCAGAGAGCCAGCAGACTGATGCAGTGAGGTTGGCTCTCGGCCGTACATAGTCCTTCACAGGGGTTTGGCTGTGGCCGTGGAGCTGGCTGGGGTGACAGCGGGCCAGCTACCCGCACAGCAGGGATCATTTCACTCTGGCCCTCCACGGAAAGAGCCGACCCCTGGTCTGGGGGTGGAGCCGGGGGTGGGGCCAGAATGGAGCAGATGTCAGGGAGAGGAGGGAGCAGGAGGAGACCGAGAAGGTGCAGCCCCCGGAGGCCAGGATCTGCCGGGAGAAGGTGGCTTCAGAGGGGAGGAGGGACGGCCAGGAGGCTGCCGGGCTGCTGGGCACAGGGGTGACCGGCTGGGGGCTGGGGACTGCACCTGCGCTCCTGTCCTCCTCCACCCGAGAGTGTCTGCCCAAAGCACCAGGCAGGAGGCTCAGGGTGATTCTGAAGCTCGTGCCCACCCGGCAGGACACAGTTGTGCCAGCCCCACCCAGTCCTCGAGCACCTAACTGCCATGCTGGACACTGGGCACGGGGACGTGGTAGCTGTGCTGTGACAGTCACCGCTCCCAAAGGATGAATGAGTCACGAATGGGCAGGGAGTCAGGACTGGGAGGACAGTGGAGGCTCGGGGCGCGTTCAGGTGCTCGTCTACCTATGACATGGACAGGAAAGCTGTTGGGCGCCACCGTGTTACAGAAGGCTGCGGGGTGTGCGGTGTGGCGTTGGGAGGGTTTACTGCGAGCCTCAGACACAGCCCTCGGGTTTGATCGAAGTGTGACCCTTGGCGACACACAGGTGGATTTCCACCTCTGGTTTCAGCCAAGGAAGATTGGAGCTGGGATAGAGGAATCCTCCTGCTTCTGTTAGCAGCCAGTGCCCAGTGGGGAGGAGGGCAGGTGGGAGAGAGCAGGAGCCCCTGTGGAAACCCTTGAGAGCGCAGAAGAGAGGCTACACACCCCACTGCGGAATCTACATTTTCCTGGTTCATCTAGGGCCTGAGAGACCAGCTTTGGTCTGGGGTGGTGGGATGAGCCGGGAAGACCCAGTGACCTCTTACCAGTGAGGTCCTGCGGGAACAGTCTGTGTCACAGGGCCCCCTCGTGGCCACCTAGAAAGCTGCGGCCCCTGGCAGTTTCAGGTGGGACATTACCTACACGAGAACCCTCTGGAAAATGTGTCCCCAGAGAAGCTATTTGGGCAGTGGCCCTGTTCATTATGTAGATTTTGTGATGATGGCTACCTCATATATATGCACGTGCCCAAGCTGAACAAATTGTGTACTTTGAATATATATGTTTATTGCATTTCACTTCGATCTCAATGAAATTATAGAGTTTAAGAAATCCCTGCCTCAGCCATGTGGGGGAAACAGACAGACGGGCCCTCACACAGGTCCCACTGCCCTGGGAGGAGTTGCTGCCCTGTTGGAATCCCAAAGCAGAAAAACTAAGCTTCATGAGGTGACAGCTGTGTCCCTGGCATGAAAGGCGAGAGGGAGCCGGCCACAACACAGCCGCCAGCCAGTGCAAAGGCCCTGTGGTTAGCGCCTAGCATGTTAGACACAGCCGAGCGGGTCTCTGTGGCTGGAAGAGTACATTGGTGACATCTGATTTCCACACATTCCAGGGGGCCCAGGGTGGCTTTTAACTTGTCAAAGTCTCCAGTAACTCCGTGACAGGGGTTGTCATTATCCGTTTTCCTACAAACCGATTAGGGGTCTATTCTGGAGCCCATGGAAGCCCTGGGGGGCTTGAAGGGGGACAGACCCGGTGTGTTTGTTGGAAGCTTGGGGTGCCGGGACAGCGTTGGTAGCTGAGCAGGGTTAGTGTGGAGCTCTGGGCCGGAGCACCCCTGCTTTCTCCTCCTGACCTGCCTGTCCCTCTTCACCCCTGCAGGAAGGATGCCTCTGGCCCTCGGAGAGCACGGTGTCAGGCAGCGGAATCCCAGAGGTGAGACCCAGCACCCCCTCCCTACTGCACCCCAGCCCAGCCCCGCGCACTGCGGGAAGCATTGGCTTCCCCGGGCTTGCTGCAGCCGCCTCTTCTGCGCATGCTCGGTGTCTTTGCGCGCCCCGCCCTGCAGGAGCTCCCACGGGCGACATGTGGGGGACGC